CAAACAAACAAACAAACAAAAATACCCAAACTTGCAGATCATACCCATTTGACCTCGCCTCGATGGCTTGATGATCAGAACTCAACTAGAGGAAGATAAAGATGTTTGATAAAGGAAGCAAGTGTAAATTGCTACAACTTGATGAACTGGACCTATACTTATGGATGTAGTAGCTCAAAATATCAACTGAGAGAGAAGGAGTCTTCACATCAAGGATCAAACCTATCCCCTCTGTACACAGAGTTGATAGGGATGGGCAACTTAAACACTGGCTACCTAAAATGTTGGGGGCTATAAAGGCACAATGTGGCTGGCTTACAAGTTTTCAAGAGGGAGTTTAGTTTCAGAGCGTACTGGGAAGGTAGAATCCCCACTGCATAATTTTTATCTTGTCTAGATGGGTCAGGTGAAAAGAGGTGGGAATAGGATTAATTTGATTTAATAGTAATTGTTATCATGACTAATTTCGATTGTTACAACTATAAAGGTAGAATTTGTGTAAGCAGTGACACTTGAGATGGAGGCAGAGGTGATGGCATGGAGAGAGAGAGCATCTGAGGACTCTAGACTCATGGAAAAAGAAAGGCTGTGTGCTGGCAGCCAGGAGGCTGGCTTGCAGAATGCACCCTTTGGTTGTTTAAATGATTCCTGTATGTTTTTGTGTACATAAAAAAAAAAAAAAAGATATCCAGAGGGAATAAAAGCAAGTACTATTAATCAATGATGCATGGAGGGGATTGTAATCATTGCAATGAAATAAAATGAGATAGGTTGAGTGCAAAACCGATGTTCTCCCATGTAAACTATCACTCAATTCACAAAAAAGCTTAAAAAAAAAAATCTCTTGAAAACTCATAAATGAATTAGTAAAGATATAGAAGATTTGAACACTAATATCAAGATTGGCCTATTAAGCATATATAAGAATTAAAGAACAAACATTCTTTTCAAACACATGAACATTTCTAAAAATGGATCATGGCACTGCAGGTTAATGCACTGGAATGCAGGGTCAAGTTGAACCACAAAGTTGGTGGTTCAAATTCACCAGCCACTCCTTGGGAACCCTATGCAGGGTTGCTGTAAGTCAGAATCGACTCGATGGCACTTTATAGCAACAACAACTAGACCACAGAGGATGTTGCCACACATTCCAAAGATGAATAGACCAATCACACGTAATATCAGAATGCAATAATAAAAATTCCCACAAATCATTGATATGGTTGTTGTTGGTGGTGGTGATATGCCCTGGAGTTGGTTCTAACTCACAGTGACCCTGAATAGGGTTTCTGAGGCTATAAATCTTTACAGGAGTAGAAAGCCTCATTTTTCTCATGCAGTACTGCTGATAGTTGCAAACTGCTGACCATGAGATCAGCAGCCCGACTTGTAAGCACTATGCTACCAAAGCTCCTTTTGATACGGTTAGAGTACAAAAATAAACATTTTAAAGAAAAAAAAAATTGATCTGAATTCTGAATAATTTGTAAAAATCAGAATGGAAATTATAAAACATTTAGAAATATAAAACAACAAATCTATCAATCAAAACGTATGGAATATGGTTAAAACATTTCCTAAATGGAAACTTACAACCTTAGGAGGCATTTTTGAAAAATAATGTACTAAACTGGTCAATTCAAGGAGGAAAAAGTAATAAATAAACAGAAAAAAGGGTAAAAAATAATAGAAATGAGAACCAAAATAAAAGAATAGAAAACAAAAGAACTATGTAGATGGTGAGCAAAGTTAATTGTTTAAAAAAAATAAAAGTAGACAAATCTCTGGCAAGTTTAAAGGAAAACAGAAGAATTTAAGATTAGGAATGAAAAGAGAGCTATGACCGCTCTGATGCCAGTCAATTAGTAGGCTTAGACAGAACTGGATAGAAGAATCGAGGGTCCTGTGAGAAAGTAGTCATAGGTGCCTGTTATCTGCTGGCAGAGACACTGCTCAGGGCACAAGTGATTGTCCTCTGAATGAAAATCTTGAGAGCTTGAGACTTTGATGCTGGAGATCTAACTGTGTTACTTCCTTTGAGGTAATAATTGTTGTTAAGTGCCTTCAAGTCGGTTGCAACTCATAGTGACTCTGTTAGGTTTGAACTGATGACCTTACAGTTCAAACCGACATTGTGGTCCAGTGCTTATCCTATGGTGTCATACCAGGGCAAAAATATGAGGAGACTTCAAAAATTATTTTATCTTTTAATTCCATAAACTTTTAGAAGCCACCTTGTGTATGCAACAGAGAGACTATGCTGGGGGGAAATACATAGTGGTTATTTAGTGCAATTTTTATTATTAAAGAACCGCTGACACCTGAATTAGTAAAATATTCAAGTGGTTAGCTATCCACTGCCTTGTGCATAACCTACTTCTCAAACCACTACAATTTTTCTGGAGCTTAACATTTGTGAATATAACATAACTGTCTTCATACAAATAATACCTAGAAAAGCCAACTGTGTCTGCTTTAATTTCAGGACAGGATTCCATGGCTCTGCAACTTGCATGACATTTTACTAAGGTAAGAGAACGCTGGGCTTTGATACGATCAGCCAGTGAATAAAGAACAGCCATCATGGATCAGAACTGACTGATGTTGTTGTTAATTGCTGTCAAGTTGTTTCTAACTCATAGTGACCCTGTATAGGGTTTCTTGGGAACAACTGGTGAGTTTGAACTGCTGACCTTGCAATTAAAATTGATCTTGTGGTCCAGAGTATTAACCCACAATGCTACACCAGCACTCCCTCCCTGACGAATGAACGCACTGTGCTTTTAACAAGAATGCTGAATGTTTCAATAAGCCACGAGCAACATGCAGTTTAGTTAAGCTCGTCAAGTTGATCCCAATACATAGAGATCCTGTAGGACAAAGGAGAAATGTTCCATGGGGTTTCCAAGATTGCAAATCTTTACAGGAGCAGCTGGTAGATTTGAACTGCTGACCTTGTAGTTAAGAGTCCAACACTTAACCTGCCGGACTAGTAAGCCTCCTTAAACCACTACAGAGATCCACAATGACTAGAGCTGGGATTCTTGATCAGTGACCTGACCTTCATAAATCCTTGTCTTTAAATGGGAATAACTATAGTTCTACTCAGGCTATTGTAGAGAGTGAGCTGATGTGTGAGTAGCAGCACCTACAAGGTGTTGTTGAATAATACTAAGTGCTCAAAAACATTCATTGATGACACCACCATTATGTTGGTTTTGTACTACTCATCACGGTGATCCCATACATACACAACCGTATGTTGCGATTCATGGAGTTTTCATTGGCTGATTGTCAAACTGTGACAACCAATAAAACCTGGGTCATTCGTAAGTCAACAAAGATTAGCTTCCAGGATTGGAATTCCTGATTGTCTGGCTCTGTCATGTACTCATGAACAACAGGGACCCTATCCCCATGTGTGGGCTTGACCCCCACTGAGACTCCTGGTTGGAACATGGAGAAAAGAGGAAGACAAAACAAGGAATGGGTTATAAATATTGCATTCTAACATGAAGTCACATTTTATAAATGTATAAATCTGGGCCACATGAACTTAAAAATATTTTTTACTATTACAAATAGTTTGCTTTTTCATACCCCATTGACATGTTTGGCAGCCCATCTGCATGGAATTCTGATGTGGAGTCTAACAACTCCTGCCTATTCTGATCTCTGACATAAATAGACTCACCAAAGATCATGTATACTGAGCTGAAATGGAAGGCGAAGATCCTCAGGAAAACATAGATCGAATTTCTTTGTTATCAGTAGTCAATGACTTTATATGTAACAACAAACATTGGCTGGTCCTGTGTTTTGAATCCGTTGTTGCAACGGTTATGTAAATCCATACCATTTGAGGGTTTCCCTCATTTCTGATGACACTTTGCTTTAAGAAACAGAACCTCTTTTTCATGCCCCAAAGATTGGGAGGATCTGATACAGCTCAACCCTTGAAGTGTTCTGAGGAATGTACTTCCTACAAAGTATATTTTGAAGAATTTCCCAGAAGATGGTGGATCCGGCAGATTACACTCTTCAGACTTTCTACAATAAAGACTAGAAATCAAGTGAAACAGAAACCGATGACAGTCCTGGAACCTAGATCTTCAAAGGAAAGGATGAAGTAGTAGATCAAATACTGATGAAGGAAAAGACTGAATGAAAGAGAACAGGGAGGCATATGGAGCAATAAATCACCAACTGGCAGAGAACTGCCACTTTGAGTTTCTGTAAGCAGTGTTCTGATCAGAGCAGGAACGAGATACCCGGCTTCGCTTGCCCAGGACTGCACCAGCACCCCCATCAGAGACAGGTGGTCAGAGAGGTGTGACCCTCCACCCTCATGCACCCAGTAGACAGTCAAGCCCCACTTCCCACCAATGTTGTGCTTTTTCCCTTTATCTTCTTAGTTCTTCCCTCTTCACCACTTTTTTGATCTTTTCTTTTTTTTCTATCTCCTCCTTCACCCTCCTGTAGATCATAAGTCCTGCCCCCTGATACACCCACCCTCCCTGATCCATGGTGCACATTCCTGTGGAGTAAGCACTGGCTTACTACCACAGCCATGCTTGGTGGCTACTAATTTCAGCATTACTGTACTGTCCTTTCTTTCTAGTTCGTCCCTCCCCAACCTTTGTTTTTCTCTTGTTCCTTTATCTCTTTCTCTCTGTCCCTTTTTGATCTCACAGAGTGGCTGCCCACCTCCACAGTCAGCACACCCACCCCTCTGTGGGAAGTGGTACATGCTCCCACTGACTCAACTCGGTGTGCCCGCTGCAGCGGTGACTGGTGGCTAAGATTTGCACCAAGACCATGCCACTTTTTTTTCCTTCTTTTCTGTTTATGTATTCTCCCATTACCCCCTTATATTTTTCTTCCTTTTCTTTCATATATTTTTCTTCTCCTTTCCCCCATTTTCTGAAACCACAAAGCACATGTCCACCCCTGCCATTTTCATGTTCAGTAGCACCACCCCATGACCCTGCACACTTGGTAGTCCACGCTTCCTGTAAGCAAGTACTGCCTTCCTGCCACATCCATATTTGGAGGCTCATGTGCCAATACTGTCCTGCTTTGGCTTTTGTTGTTGTTTCTGCTCCCTTTTGCTTTTGTTCAAATTTCCCCCCACAAGTTGGGAGCCAGCAACTCTACCCAGCCATACCCACCACATCTGGCTCCCCACCCACTGAGCAAATACCACCACCACCCACCCCACCACCCCACAAGCAATACTGGATCAACAATTGTTGTTAAGTGCTGTTGTCAGTCTGACTCCTAGCAACCCTGTATAGGTTTCCAAGGAGCAGCTGGTGAACTTGAACCGCCACCTTGTGGTTTAAACCAACGTTATGGTCCAGTACATTAAGGGTACCTAATCTGCATGTCTGTTCCGCAGGAGAAAGATGAGGTTTTCTGCTCATTTAAAGATTTAGAGCTTCGGAAACCCTGTACAGGGTCACTATGAGTCGGAACCAACTCCACGGCACATAACAACAATAATAACAATCTACTAAAGGAACAATCAGAAAAAAAAGAACAAAAACAAAACAAAGTCTAAGAATTATATGGGACACTATTAAAAAAGAATAACTTACATGGGTTGGAATTCACAAACAGGAAGAGACAAAAAACACTGAGAAAATTGTTGAAAATTTACTAGAGGAAAATTCTCTGATAAGACAGATGAGAAGATATGCATTCAAGAAGCTCAATAAATCCCAAATAGAACAGAAACCTAAAGAAAATTATATTTAAAAACAAAAACCCACTGCCATCAAGTTGATTCTGACTCCTCGTGACCTTCCTCCTAGGACAGAGCAAAGCCTGCTCCTTAGTGTTTCTGAGACTGTAAATCTTTATGGGAGAAGACGTCCCATCTGTGAAGCAGCAAGTGGGTTTGAACTGTTGATCCTGACCCATGATTAAACCATTGCATCTCCAGGGCTTCTTTGCAAATCACCAAGACATATAATAATCAAACTTTCAAAATAAAAGAAAAAGAAACAGTTCTGAAAGCCACTTGGAAAAAAATGAAAAAGTCACCTACAAAGGAAAGCCAATAAGAATTAGCTCTGATTTCTCAGCAGAAATAATGCTGGTAAGAATGCAATAGAATGACATATATAAAACTCTGGAAGAAAGAATTTTGTAACCAAGAATTATATACCCAACAAAATTGTCCCTCAAATACAATGACGAAATTAGGACCTTTCCAGATAAACAGAAATTAAAGGAATTTGTAAAAACCAGACCAACCATGCAAGAAATTCTAAAAGAAGTACTTTGGACAGAGAAGACAACTGCAGATAAAACCTGTAATTAAGACAACACCAGGAAATCAAACCAGATTAGAATAACCCACAATAAAATAAACCTACAAGACTGAAAGCAGGGAACCAGAGATGTCAATTTAT